CATGGCCACACAGCCCGGAAGACCCATACCAGCCATCGTATTCCGGTTGTGAAAGCCTTCGACAATAGAATATCTGTTTTTATTTATTTTCATCATTTTTCTTAGCTACTATAAACTCATAGTTCCATCTATAACTTGCTTTAGTTTCTTACCAATTTCCATTTACAATTTTAATTTGAATAATTATCCTGCATGCTCATATTCTCTTCATTTCAAATACCTTTAAATAGCAATCCAAATAGTTGTTACATAAAACACAACAGCAAGTATTGAGAAAGTCAAATTATTTTATGGCAGACCTTTAGAGGATTGAGCAGAAGAAAAGAAGTTAAAATCTCAGCAGACAATGCTGGTGGAATGGCTCTGGATAAGTGTCTCTCAGCATTACCTGTCTGGTACAGGAACAAAATTGTAGTGGGAACTAGGAAAAAGATATAAAAGATTCTATATTGAGAGATATTTTGTAGATATTTAAGTGGGTATGAGCCTGTAGATCCATAAACTTAACAGAGACTCTCTGAACCAACGTAGCTTGGCAATAAAGTAATAGAATTGCATCATATAATGACATCTCCTCTGACAATTTTGGCCAGCATTCTGATTGTATATTTGCATTCTATGTCAGAGAAAATGTGGGAGTTGGTATTTATCTTTGTAGATTCAAGTAAAGCTAGCATTTGTCTTTCTGTAAACAATACCTTGCTAAGTTATTGGATTGTACTCTCTGTAACCTCAGCCTGTACTCTCCTGCTGACAAGGATAGGATTTGTTTCACCTAAAAAATCATTGTTCAACATACAGATGTCTGAATAGTTTTAATCAGAAGAAGGAGAGGGGGAGCGGGAGGGAGAGGGGAAGAAGGAGCAACCACCATCACTACCACACTACTGCATGGTCTTTCCAAGCATACATGGCAGAATGAATCAGCCTCCCCAAAGTATTGGTGTTTATATACCAACATTCTGTGTTTAATTAAATTAAGTAGGATTTTCCTGTTACTATTAAATATGGCTAGGAATACCTGGAGTCAAGCAACAGGGAAGGAAAAAAAGCAGTGTGAACTTTCACCACTGATGCTGTCAGGAATGTGGTACAAAAAAGCAAAGACTGTACAGAGACAGGAGCACATGATCAGATGGATCATGGCAGAATCTCCATGAATAGAATATTAAGGAATTGTATTTACTTTCACATTATTTATGGTTTTATTTGTTAACTTTATATCACACTTTTCAATCAAGAGCTCAAGGCAGTGAAAATTAGAGTAGCTCACTCCTTTGAAATACTAGCATCTTCACTCTTGCATATTTTGACATCCTACTCTCAGTGATTCCTGAAGACAAATACAAGAAGGATTTCCCCTGTGGTATTCACATGGTAGAATCTATGTCACATAATCTTTTATATTATCCTTTTTATAGAGATATTTACAGTATATCAGTATCTGTAAATTCTGGAGATTTTTATGTCAGATACTTACTTGAGGATTGTGGATCCAATATTATATGAGCAGTGGCAAAACTCTGTTTGGCAGTCTCCTGGATAAGGTGGTGTTGTGCAGAAGAGAAGACAAGATAGGATAAAGAAGAGGATACTCTAGACAGGGTAGTGTTTTAGCACTTCAGTATCTTAGTATTTTAGTAGCCTTGTCTTCTAATATTTCAGCAGTTCAGTGTTCTAATATTTTGGTAATTTAGAAATTTAGCTTTTTAGCATCATATTGTATTCTAGTTCGCTTTATCCTAAAATCATTTGCTTATTAATTTGTTTCCTTCCCTACCACACTACTGCAATAATAATAAAGGATCTACTTACTTGACTAGCTAGGAATATGCACAGTTGATCAAAACCATTGGCTATTACAATACCTGCTATCAGTTTTGTTATCTACAGTGGGCAAGTACGCAATAAGTACAAGGACTTTGCTTGCTAAATCTTGAGTCATTGAGTAATTAAATGAGGCGTGTTGCCAGATTTAATCATTTCAGGCTCTGTGCAGCAGAAGGCAGAGATATCCTTTGAAAATGTGCAGCTCTGCAGTTTTATAGGAAGTGTGTGTGTTCTTTAAAAAATTACTCAAGCAAAATAGATTAAAAGCATTTATCTACCATTAATAGGTTTTTAAAGAGCTACTTGCTGTTGCCACTTATTTAAAATAATGATATTGGGTTCCTCACAATTTAAGGTCTTTGCAAATTGGGGGATCCTCCTAGACTCACAGCTCCTGTTTTGTCACACTTTCTTACTTTCTATATGGTTTTACTGTAATTTTTTTTTTCCCTTTTCCCCCCCTCACAGAGTTGTTGTTGTTTAGTCGTTAAGTCGTGTCCGACTCTTCGTGACCTGCTGTACGGC